CCATTAGGGTTATATATCCTGAAAAAAAACAAGGTGGTACAGAGACCCCACAGAGATCCCCTCGCTATCGATGTGCCGTGACGCCAGCATCCACTTTCAAACCCTGTCCCTAGGCCTGGAGGATAAGTTGCAATTGACATTTTGCGCTGGATGGCCGAAACAAGCCGGGCTTTCATGCTAGTGTTTGAACACTGGGAAAAACACTTGCAAAGGTCACTGAGCCCATTTCCTTTCTGTCTTCCTCATGCGACTAAAGACCTGGAACAGCCCCTTTTAACATCACTTTAGTTCCTGGCATATTCAAATTTCTTTGTAGGAAGTAAAAAGTAGAAAGAGAAACCCAAGAATGGATTTTTCTTTTAGATTTTTTCCCCTATTTCTTATTAAAATTCTAAAAAGTTTTATACCTCTAAAGAAACAGAAAAAGAAAAAAAGATGCAGCGAGAAATCAGTGACTGGAATGGGCAGAGTTTTGTTTGACTGGCTCTTATTGGTGTTGTTAGTTGGAAGCCAAAACTCAGATTATTCCATACATATTTCTACAAGTTAACACACAACACCTCCCAAAAAGGTCACACTTATAAAACTCTTCTGTGTGGATGTTGATACTGAGGGTAAATGATTTTGCTGGCGGTTTTTGTCAGTTAAGATGTTTCAAAATGACGTCAGAGGAAGCACAACTGGAGAAAGAAGCTCCTCGGAAGGAAAGCCTTTTCTGCAGAGGCATGCCGGCTGTTCATTCACACAAATACTTTCAAACTTTGGGGAGCATTTCAGTAAACAACAGGAAACTGACATATCACAGCAAATATACACCGATTGACCCTTTTGAAAAGCCCAACTATGCTTGCCAGGGAACTTGGTGGAATAGTTGGCAAACTTTTGGAAATTTTACACTCTACAGGAAATACACGCTAATGTCTCCAGTTACTAATGCTGACAGCACTAGCAATGCTGATCATTAAATTATGACGCTAAAGACAATTTAAAGTATTACCTTCATAACCTTACCACATCGAACTTTGTTTTTATTGTAAAATGCTGCAGAGTTTTACAATTAAGCTCTCTTAAAGACAAAGTGCGATGTCTTCTGGTCTAAATAATAATTGTTGTTCACTAGGGGTGCTATAAATTTCTCATGCTAAAAATACCAGTTTCAGGGTATCGTGATCACGACATAAAGATTTTACACCAAAGTGTTTCAAATGACCTGATTACTTTTATTGAAGGGAATGCAAACCAAACTCCCCCATATTAAAGATTTACCAGAATAGGAAAAAAAGATTCTCCTCCTTTAGTTACAACACGACTGTCCGTTTTGTCGGTAATATTTCGAAACAGGTGTTTTGTTTTTTTCTGGAAGTATGAGAAAAGCTTTCTTTCAGCCAGCTGACTGACTTACTCATTCTACATGGGTCATCCCTGGGAGTTGGGGAAATTTGTTTAGGCCTCATGGCATATTTCTCAAATATCATTTAAAATGGTACAATGGGAATGGTAAATTTCAAATTATTCTTCTCAGAAGTTCAATGGAAAATTGTTTAGAATTTTATAACTGTTTTTTATAATCTGTGCATAAAAAGATATGTGTAGCCACACAGTGTCTGTTTGTAACAAAAAGTCTGCTTCATGTTCCTGTTAAGTTACAATAAGTAACTCCAGCACATAATTGTTAATCAGAACTTTCATATAACTTGTACCCTGTCAAAAAAAAAAAAAAAAAAAAAAAAAAAAACCTATGGTAAATTTCGAAGGATTTGGTACACATATTGAGATTGGCAAAAAAAAAAAAGTCAGTAAACCCTAACTGGACTTCTACAGGAAGTTCTAATGTTTTTTTAAATTTTTATTACAAAGAAACTTCACCGCCATAACCAATTGTACCATAATGCAGGCAGCCTTGAAACACTGGGCTGCAATATCATTATCCAACATGTTACTGCAAAAGACTTCAATGTATTCAAAAAGGTTTTTAAAAAGTTTTTATTTTGTATTGTCTGCAGAGAGAAAACTGTGTCAGTCAGAGCTTTACAAAATCTTTGACAAGAAATTAGCTATGAAGTCTCAGATCAGTGCATCTCAAAAACACTCATTCAACAGTTTGTCCATGAATAATTTCAAAACCAGCTGACATTTTCTTGTCAGTTGTCACTTTGCTTTTTAAAACGCAGCACCACTATATGTCTCTGCAGGCCTTCGGCGCCATCCCACAGGTGATCCAGGGAGAAAACACCCCTCTGCTCCACAAATGTTTCAAACAGATGTAGCCCACCACCAACACCAAAGTAATGTGATTTGGTGGCCAGGTAGACCAGGCCACTGGGTGCCAGCAGTTTGTGCAGCGTTTCATGAAGGGCAGGGTAGTAGCAAGTGTTGTAGATTGTTTCTGATGTGAATATAATGTCAAATTTGGGAAGTGGTTCTTTCTTTAAGACCAAAGGAAGAAATGTTCTCCAGTCCCCAGAGTAAAAGAGGCACTTCCTCATTAATGGATGCTTGGATAGATCTGTTGCCCTTTTCTTAGGAGGGGGACTGCCAGAGTTCAGATCCTTCTTGCCCTTATCTACACAACCGTCTTCTTGTTTTTTTCCCTTGCCCTTCCCTTTTTTCTCACCATCACCCTCTACCTCATCATCATCTTCACAGTTTAGGATTACATTTGGCACCGTGAGCTGTTCGATCACTGTGCTGTTATAGTCTTGAAAAACGATCTGCCTGGCTCCTCGCTTCAAGGCCAGTATTCCTAACAGGCCCGCTCCACAACCCAAATCTAGCACTGTTTTCCCACTGAAGGTTTCTCCCTCTTTTTCCATTATCTCCAGAATGTCATACGTGCACTCCCACACCTTCAAGCCGCCCTCGTACACACCAGAGATGAGATCAGAGTTCTTCTCCTCCCTGCGAGACAGAATTTTTTCCCTGTCCTCTCGCTCTGAGGCCGTCCTCTCAAAAACGGTTTCGTTGAGGAAGTGCAGAGGAGGAAGGGTTCCGATGGTAATTGTTTCAAAGACTCCATCAGTGAGGAGGAACTGGGGGTCAGATGGAGGAAGGTGCTCTTTAGCCTCTTTTACTGGACTGGCTGGTGTATCATCATCTACTTCTGCCTGCAACAGAAAGCAGCATGCTTTAGGGAACGAAAGAGCTGACTGTGAGTTTCAGTCAGAGACAATGTGTTTGAAATTCAAAGGAAAAAAAACTAAAAAGAACATGAAAGCAAAACTGATTAAGATTTTAGCTTGAGTAATGGTCTAGATGTTTTCCATTTTGTCCAAAGCCCTTGTCAGAAGGATGACTCTGCTCTGTTAAGCCTATGTGAAATCATGGCATCACATTATGACAGCGAGTTAAGAAAGCCAACGCTTTGCACTTTGGCTAACACCAAATTCCTTTTAATTTCTAATTTTTCTTTCTAACAATAATAATCTAATGATGACATAATGAGCTGGCTGACTGGTTGCTAAACTTGGACAGACTGCTGATCAGCCTTGTGATTCATTACGTGACTTAAAAACACTATTTGCATATATCATGTGGGTTACACCCACAGCCACAGAACAATTCTGGTAACAAAAAAAAAACCCCACAAAAGCTTCCATCATACCTTAGTAGTTTAGTGTCTGCACAGCTAATAATGATTCATGCAGTCTATCATCAGTAAGAACACCAACGCAAACTGATATTTTTCTCTTTAACCTTTCGTTGTTACGGGTTTCCTATTGGAAAATAAATGAACTAACGCTCTCTAGTGGTTAACAACTGACATTTCATTACAACTTTCTATTTCTGTAGAGCAAAAACTGAAACAGTTCCACTAAAATGTCTCAATTGTAAGCTTTTGTTGTCTTTTTTCTATTACTAAGATACTAAGATGGCTTTAATTTAAATAGCATGTTCTAAATAACTAAGATGAAAAAAGCATGTAAAAGATTTTTCTATATCAATAATGTGAAAAGCCAAAGAGGTTCAATGTAACCTGACAGCTACAAGTGGAAAGAAAGCCAAAAGACCTTTAAATGCTCAATCCCTCATCAAAATAGTTTAAAAGTCAAGAATGGCTCAAAGTATTTGATGTACAAATAACTGTGTGTAAGATACACACAGTCATGTAAGAAAAAAAAATACGTGTCTCTGTGTTTTCTAACAAATTCAGACAGTTTTATATTTAACAATAAATAAGACGAGAAAATACAATTTAAATGTGCGAAATGTAAAAAATGTATTTTTAAAATATGACATTTCATATATTTTGTTATAAAAATTGCTTAAGTTCTTAAGTTTGACAATTCTTTAGATTTCCAACTTTATTCAGTATAGCAACACAGCAGGAGCAAAAGCCGTGGATAAGTTCTAGTTACACAGCTTTTATTGTGGAAGTAGACTTCCAAAACAAAAGCTGTATAAGTCTTATTTCCATGCTAGCTGGTAGGTCGTGAATACAATTAGCAACGTCATAATCTTTCATCCCAGTGCTCTCATTATCTTCCCAGCAAATGAGACTTCTGCTACTCTCCCGGGCAGCTAAAATAGACTGCAAGAACGTAAGATTAAGAAACAAACATTACGCACATATTTAGCGCCGTCGTCTTTGCTTCCGCTTTGCACTTCATTTCCATCCACTTCTTGAGAGGCGTTTGCTTGCCCTGAAATGTCGAAGTTAAAACAAAACGACATAATGACTGAAATCAACCACGACAGACTGCCGCTGGCTCGGTAGATAGACGACTCCACATGTTGACCTCTCGGGAAGACTTCAATTCCCACAATTCCTGAAGCAAATGACCAGTTTTTACATTAGTCGTTGATTTGACAAACTTGTTGTATGATTTTTTTTTACGTATATTGGTTTTATAGTGATACAAAGACTAAGGACAACATTCAAAAATAAAAATTAGCGACGGAAATTAAAATCTGCTGTGAGTTTAATGTCCAGTTCCTGACTCAGATAACCATGATGCATCGAATTAAGTCTACGGAACATGCGCAGTAGCTCCAGGTCAGGATTCAGCGGCGTTCACTGACAGGTCCGATAACCTACTCCGCCACTTAAATAGCAACAAGCCCGCTTTATCGTCACTTTAACGATGTCGTCCTTAGAATTTAATTCAGAGTACTCCTCTGCTCCATAACAGGTAAGTTCCGCAATTTCTATTCACGTTGCTGTTAAATGTCAGTGTGAGCCGCAGCAGTACACACGGGTATTCAAAAGCTGTGCATGACATCCAGACAAAAGAGATTTGGGAGTGTTTTATGTCGCAGAGAGACAATTAACTGGCGGTGTGAATTATGCACAACAGACTTTTCTTTCATAAAGAAACAATTAAAGGTCCTTTGTGGGTCATTGTTGAATATCCTGCCATTGACTGATGAAGTGAGTGTGTTGGTGACAGAAATCTGCTGCCCAATAATAGACCACTAACTCTCCCCTTCACCTGCACAGCCACAATAACCTCCAAACCGGACACCACCCTGTTGGGAATGCAGTCGAGCTGGACTGCCTCTCCCGTTTTTTAAAAAAATTATATTTACTTTATACTCCATTGAGAATTTATTTTACTTAACTGTATGTCACTTGTCTTTCTCATCTCTGACTTTAAAACATCGGATGTGCCTAATTATGGTCAGTTGGGCTCCGAATGAAATTGTGAAATATATTAAAAAAGGTCCTAATTGATTCTCAGACAATCAGTTAAGCCCTTTTGAGACTCTGTGAAATCATAGCCACCATAAACAACAGAGACAGAATCCTCATCATACTGGCGCCTCTGAAAAAGATGAGTAAAAAGCCATGAAATGCAGTAGACCTGCTTGCTCATGCAGTAGACCTGCTTGTTCATGCAGTAGCAGAGTTTACATCGACACAGGTTTTATGACATGACCCAAAAAATTATACTTTTTTAGATATTTATTAAACTGCAAAAGTATGTGTTGTTTTATGGACTAGAATGATGGGAGTTTTTATTTATTTTTATTTATTTCCTGAATATAAAATTAGACAAATCTAGTATTTGATCCTCCAATGTTTGATCAAAGCCATGATAGTGTGATTAACCAATTTACAATAGTATCACAGCTTTAATGGCTTTAAGGTTTTGATTTGTGTTTATAACTTAAGTTTTTAAGACTGTTAACTCTGTATCTTTATTTAATCTGTGCAGGTATCTCCTCATCACAAATGCAGAATGCGGTGCGTTCCTGGTTCCATGCTCAACCTGCTTCGCAGTGGGCGAATACGCTTCTGCAGCAGGCGAGGGAAGAGCAGACTCCCCCCGTGGCTCAGGAAAATATGGGCCTACATGAAGCTGCTGGTGCAGTCGCTTTATTTCAACACCCTCACAGACTCTGATGTAGTGTTTGACTCCATCTTTGAACCAGTGTTTTGGACTGTGGATTATGTCACACGCTGGTTTGGCATGGTGAGTGAGTAAATTTAACTGTGTGTGAAGACTTCTCTTTGCTATGACTTGAAAGGGCAAAGAAAATGACATTTTCAAATGCCTGGAAATGTCTATCTCTTGTTTTGGACAATGGAGACATATTAATAAGCCTTCTTTTATTTTGTTTTGGCATACTCTGCGCTTCTTGCTTTTTTCCACTGCGATTGAGGTTGAAATTAGTCTGTAATGGTCCTTTAAATTGGACATCATTATGTTAATCTGTTGTGTCACAGCTTTATCATTGTTATATTTGATTTAATTGTTACTGAATCAGGAATCTGGGAGGCCACTTTTAGGACAACTTTTCAAAAGTCAAAATTATCCTTGCATTCACTACACATTTATCAGCCTAAAAACAAAATGTTAAGGGTCTTCTTTAAGAAGGTCAATTAATTGCTTTCTTTATGAAAACAATACTCCTTTAACAAGGATAATATTTGCAGTGATGCATATAATTTTATTTGATTGTCCCATTTTTGTACTTTCTTTTTTTAGGTGTTTGTTTGTCTGGTGGTGATACTGACCAGCTCCATTTTGGTGATAGCCTACATAGTGCTTCTTCCTCTAGTCTTAAACACTTACTCCCCTGCATGGATTGCTTGGCACATTTGTTATGGACACTGGAATCTCATCATGATCGCTTTTCACTACTACAAAGCTGCTAAGACCTCCCCAGGGTACCCCCCCACAGTAAGATCTCAAAATCTGCTTCTCTGCAGAACAACCAGTTTAACTGTGCTGCCATTTTTTTTTTTTTGCTCTTTAAAGATACACAACACGTTCTCTTTCTCATAGGAAAAAAATGACAGGCCTTTTGTGTCTGTCTGTAAAAAGTGCATCATGCCTAAACCAGCAAGAACACACCACTGTGGTATCTGTAACAGGTGAGTGAATGTCTTTACTCCTTATCTTAATCAAGTGCGTTTAAATGGCTGATGTTTTACTGTTTTGTTCAAGTTATTCATATGTATGGCTAAATGTTTGAAGGAAAATTTTGTTTTGTTCTTCTACTTTGTCTTTAAAAGTCTCTTGTGCTGCCGCTCATTTGTGAGAATTTTATTTTAATTGGTTTTATTTTAAATTAGTTTTAGTTTTATTTGTTTTTATTATTTTTTTCATAATTTGTATAAATGTTTTTCGTAGGTGATTAAATTTTTATTTTATTTTATTTGCTTAGTTTTTATTTGTTCAACTTGGTAACCAAACTTGTATCAAACTTTTCTTTCTTTTTTTTTTTTTTTTTTTCTTCCTGGAATTGTACTTCAGACCATTGTCTGTGGAAGAGGCTGCTTTTGAATAAACTTTGGAATAAAGGATCTGCCACCACTGATTGCTATAAAAGTACCTAAAATGTGCTTTTTGTTGTTATTGTGCTTGCAGGTGCATTCTGAAAATGGACCATCATTGCCGTATCCTTTGCGATTCTTAACTCCATTGGTTGTATAAACTTTATCAGAAAATTTATTTAGAGACTGAAAGAATGTTTTGTTTTTGTTTTCCTTAATATCCTCCTGCTAGCTTGGTTAAATAATTGCGTGGGACATTTTAACCATCGCTACTTCTTCTCTTTCTGCCTCTTCATGACCCTGGGCTGTGTCTACTGTAGCATCAGCGGCAGAAACCTGTTCCTCGATGCGTACAACACTCTTGAGGTCAGACAGCCGGCCTGCTGCTTTCTCATTGTGATCCTTGCACTTTTTAAAATATACATATATTTTAAATGAGGTTAATTTTTTGCTTCCTCTTTGTCTTTGACATCTGGGCGGGTTGCTCTTTCAGCGGTTTAAGCATTTGGATTTGGAAAAGCCAGGTATTCCTGTAACAGGGATGGGACTTCTTATAGGGCTTCTCCCATCTGGCCAGGTATTGTCTCAATAACAAAGCACAGAGATGTGATTGAGCTAAGGAGTGGTTCCTTTATTCATTTGATTGGTGATTCATTTGTACTTTTTGTCTGTTTTGATAAGACCAACTTCCACACGCCTGCACCTTCATACACCTTTAAGGAAAGGATGATTCATAAGAGCATCATCTACATGTGGGTTCTCACCAGGTAAAAAATGTTTTAATTTATCAATAATTATAACCTCTCTCAATGTAGGGAAAAGCCTCAAAACAGACAAAAAAAAGTCTTTGCTCTAACTGGTTCCACTCCTCTTATACAACACCGCTGTCACTTTGACATTGATAGCAAGCTGTGGTTTTACTTTGATTACAAGAAGATGTCTTTTGTTGTTTTGGCAGTAGAGGAACTAAAAGGTATTTCATTTCTGCAGCACGGTGGGCGTGGCTCTCGGCGCTCTAACTGTTTGGCACGCAGTTCTCATATCCAGAGGGGAGACAAGCATTGATAGACACATTAACAAGAAGGAAAGACAGAGACTGGCAGCATGGGGAAAGGTATTCAAGTAATCAGAATTTAAAAATGTATGTCCTATATTTGCCTCTTGATTTCTTCTGTTTTATTGTTTTTGTCACATGCAATTGTTACCCATTGTCAAGCTCATTTGAATTTCACACAAGATGACCTACATTATTACAAAATGCTGAAGCTGAATTCTAGTTTAAATCATCAATCATAATTGGCTACATTTTTGTAGGGTAAACCAAAGTTAGATTTCACTTAGCACACCTAAGGTGGAATAGATGTGTAGGATCAAGATATCCTTTAAATAGAACCTGTTTGACAACAGTTTGCTAAAAGATCTTGAAGTTTGCTAAAAGTGCTAAAAGATCTTGAAGCAAGACATAATGCCTCAATCTAAAGAAATTCAAGAACAAACTCAAAATCAAGTCGTTGACATCTATGAGTCTGTTAAAGCTTGCAAAGAGATTTAGGGGGCAATAACTTCTTCATAAAGAGACAGGTTAGTGTGGCCTGCTATTTTTCCCTGTCATTAATGAAATCATATTTTGTATTTACTCTAGTTTGACTCTTTACATTTTAAGTTTCACAAAAAGCAGCAGAAGGGACCTGTAAAGGGACAAATACTTTTTCACAGAACTGTTTCTAATAAGAATTCCTAAAAATGTGCTCGAGTTGATCTGGTGATGAAACACAATTTAAATCCCATAACACCATTGGCAAAATGATAGAAGTGGTTTCTTTTCAAAGTGGATAAAAGCGTTATTTTTTTTATTTCTTTTTTTTCACTACTGCTTTCCTTTTCTAATTGATTTGTCAGGTTTACAGAAACCCTTTTGACTATGGCAAGCTGAACAACTGGAAAGTATTCTTAGGAGTGGAGAAAAGAAGGTATGTTTTCATTCTTTATACAAACTCACCGCTCAGGTTTTTATCTTATATGTGATCAGAGATGTAATGTTTGCTTTGTCTCTCTCATGTTTAGCCACTGGGTAACACGCGTCCTGCTCCCCTCCGGCCACACGCCATATGGTGACGGCTTGACCTGGGACATCTTCCCAGTTAGAAAGGATTTGATACCAGTATGACAGACTGCTTCAGCAAACCTGTAGCCTGAAATCAGTGCTATATCAACCCATTTTTATCCAGCTGGCTCACATGATGGCTCCACCTGGCACTATTGACCTCTATTACCTCAATAAGACAGGGACTGCATATGAATTATGCAACATAAATTTGTATTGAAAGCTGATGCTACTTGAGTCAGAGCTACAATAATGCTGACTGAATTATTTGTTGAAATATATTTAAGGTAAAATATTTCATCTATTTTTTTCCCTATTTGTTTAGTGTTTTAAAAATGTCATAGAGATGCCCTACAGTGGGTCGGTTTTGTTTTTCTATTCCTGTATTTTCCATGTTAAGTTATCAAAAGCCACTCAAATGGTAACGCATGCTTAAAGCATTCAATTCCATCCAAACACTACCCTGATGATGATCTCTGCTCTTTGCATATGTTAATAAATTTTTATTACTTTTTTAGAAATCTTTTCTCATTTTTTTATATGGTATGACATGATCACTTTTTAGAAATGAACCTTTTAGCGCTTCTACACCATGTAGATCTGTTTCAGCTCTGGTTGCGTCACTGTTTTGAACGGAAGCCAAACTGGGTACTAGTATGAGGGGAGATTACAAGAGATGCACTCTGCGTTTTATTTATTTATTATGTCACAAAGATCAGCTATGAAATACTGTAGCTCCCTTTCCAATTTAGATGTTCATCATATTGGTTTATTTTGTGGATTTTGTGAATGTTTAGGGCTTGCCATTGGAGGACAAAAGTGCAGGTCTTGGTTTTGAAATAAAGATAAGATGATTTTAGGCTGATTCTAGCACACTCATCCTGCGTATCTCAGCTGCACATCTGCCTGTAAACTGCAAGGATGGCAGGATTTAATCTTCCAGCAGATGTCAGTGTTTCAAGCCATAAATTTGTCCAAAACCTTAATGAGATGAGCTTAGAACAAATCGTGAGCCCACTGTTTATTTATTTTTTTATTTTCCTCCCACCTGTCCTGTTTTATTATTTATTTCTGTGTTCTATTTGATTTGAACAACTAGCTGGAATTGAATGTTGACAGAATTTGTTTTGCTTCGTTTCATTTCACCATGCAAAACAACTTGCCACATATTCACATTGAAAAATACAATACTTTATCAATCCTAAAAGAAAATTAAATGAACAAATGAACCCTCCATGTGTGTATGAGTGCAGAGCCCTGCAGCTGCTGGCTAACCCTCATTATCCACCTTCTAATGATATTTATAGTGTCAGGTGTTTCCATCTTCACCCAATCCGCTCCTTACAGGACCTTTTACTGTCTTAGAGTCCATACAGTTTAAATGAAGCCGTGTATAAGCTCCACTGAGCTGACTGACTGTCTGTGCCAAGGGTAAGTTTGGTGGGATTACTCTGTTCCCAGACCAAGATACAACATAAGCCTATTCAAATGTAAACACAAGTTATTTTTTCCTTGAGGATGTGAAATAAACCTAAGCATATTTTTATCTAACAGCATAGACTCTTACAAGTAGCCAAAAGGGTCTATCTTGTTTTTATTTTGTTGTCTCCCTTACCCCAGTAGTTCACAAAGTTAGGGTTGAGATTCCACTTGGGTTCACAAATATTTCAGTCTTGAGATCCTCCTCAGAAATACTTCAATAGTTAAAAAAAATATATATATATATATATATAATATATATATATATATATATATATATATATATATATATATATATATTTAAAAGATTTTGTTACTTGCTCTCAGTAGTGACTTTCTTTTTTCCTACCTTTCCATTAAGGTAGGACTTTCCTAGCATGGATCTCTGTAGCACCTCCAAAGATGCCATTAAGTTATTGACTGGTTTTCTGGTCATTTTTTACATGGTCTGCCCACCTTTTAGGTGGGATATGCCTCTGCACATTTGGAGTTGTGACATACTAGTTCTTATTTTGATGGGTTCAATCTTTCTTCAACGTGACAATTATTGATCTACAGCACAGTTTATGGTTGCATCATAACAAATTGTGCAAAAGCCTAAGAGGGTGGATGCTTTTGCAGTGACTATTTACTCAGTAGATGCTGTTATTTTGAAGGAGTCCCTTGTCCGTTTCCGCTGTTACTGAGCCTGTTTCACGCATGCGTGCGGTGCTTTGAAGCGTTAATTCTGAGTTAGATCGGAAACGGACTCCCTGAGTGGGCTTGCCTCATTTTCAGCTGAAAAAATTTGGATTTTGTTTTGTTGCATTCTTGTAAAGGGAAAAAGTATTTTTTTTCAGAGTCTCAGTGCGCCCATCCATCTCCGGAGCTGCGCCGACACTCTTCCCACTGTGGTCTGTCATCCTGCAGGCGCGCAGCTTCAGCCGACCCGTCACGTCACGTCAAGATCCGGAGATAAACTTCTGCTTGCCAATAAGTTCTGATGTGGCAAGCAAACTGCAGACGGATGCATAATATAGCAGACTGGATTTCAGGTGATTTGTCATTTATCTTCAATCTATAGTAGGGTAAATACTCTGCGATTTCTGCAACATCTCGATTGAATGAAAAGCGCGTCTATTACTTTAGCACGGTTTACAAGAAGAGTGAACTAAAGTGAGTTTTCTTTTTTGAAATTGTGAATGAAAGATGGGGAGCTTGGAGGCATGATGCTGTGCGGGAGGGTGTGCCCATCAGCTGGCACTACACGTGACACAAACATAGCAGCTTGTCTGACCTCACAGGAACAAGCAGTGCTGAGCTGTCGTTTTATCCCCCAAAAAACATCACTCGTTTCTTGCACTCTTCCCTCCCATTTTAAAGCTCAATCAAAAACATATCTATTGTAAAAAAAAATACAAATAAAAAAAAAAACAAACAAAACATGATTTAAATAGTTACATTTTCCTCCTTGTTCTGGGACACAGGGACAGTGATGGGAGGCTGTGTGGGGAGGAGCAGGATGGATGGACAAGGGAGTGCCCCGGGCTCCACAAGGACTAAAAAACGTGGAGGTAAGACTCTGGAACACATTCAAATGCTTTATTTACAGTGATGTGGAGCCTGGGATAATGCTCTTGCTACTGCATATTTAATTCTGCTGGACGAAGTTGTAACTAAGATAAAATATATATCTGCATTGTAGTGAAGTAGGTTCTTCCCAGATCTGGAGAATCAAGCTGGAACTATCATAATAAACATCAATCGGTAACATCAAGTTCTTGGATTGAGATAAAATAAAAAAAAATTTCAATAAGATATATGACATGGGTGTGGTTCGTAGTTGATTATTCACCTGGTTTTTCATTCTTAGATCTTATATGGAGGAAGGCCTGAACGATTAAGCAATGGCATTAAAACCTTTTGCAGAGCTTACTTTCTTCAGTTGTTAGCAGAGGATAAATAACAGTACTGGTTTTAATGCCAGATCAGTACTTTTTGCAGCGGGGGAAATGAATGGTCCCCGATAAAAAGTTACACATAAAAAGATAATCAATAAAACTAAAACAAATATTGAATCAGCTACATTTGGTCTTTCAACCTATGTTTGTTTTTATGAATAAGTTTTCAAAAAGTGCTAAATACTAAGCCGCTAGTACTCAGATTTGTGTAACAATTGCCACCTCAGTTACATTAAGTGAATCTTTGTCAGTTGAAAGCTGTTTGTCATAAAAACAGACACAAACCAGTGTATTAAAATTAGTTTAGTAGTTCAAATACACTGGTTGTTTTTTGTTACTTATAGGTTTAATTTTTTGCTTCCAAGTTAGAAAAATTAAAAAAAAAAGTTTCCTCCAAAGTTAGAAGTTTTCACTGACTCAAACACTGACCTAAAAATCCAACATGGCTGCTGCAGTTAAAACTTATTCCTAACTGCAAACAAAAACAAAACAAAATACAATTTAAACATATTTGCACCTCTTGAAAATTTACATTTTATGAGTATAGTCTAAAATGCTGTGAAGGGAATTGTAATTAGCTTATATTTTGTAATTTTAGTAAGACAAACACATAAGCTTGCAGGTCCTGATGATTTTCTGACTTGCTGCCACCGTTATGATGGGTGTGGCTTTATTCTTACATCAATGTACCAACTTCAGAGGTATATAAAACACAGTATTGCATTTTGTGTTTTCTTTGGGTGATGCAGAAATCAACCGGCTTCAATGACACCAAATCTTTTTTGTTGTTTGCACTCATTAGTCCTACATCACAGTTTTTGAGTTGTTCATTGATTTACACAATAAATCAATGATTCTAACATTTCCTTACCACTAATGAGAGTCCTAGTGCTACGATTGCTACTTGTACTGTGGTTTGAAAACCACTGCAAAATATGTTTATTTGTTGTAATTCTTATCTCAAAGGTTGTTTTTAATGCCCACCTAGAACAATACTCAAATTCTTGCTTTTTAACCTTGTTTTGTGCTCAAATTTTTTTTTCAAAAACTTGTGCTCAAATTTTCATTTTTTGCTACCATACAGCTAAGAAAATGAATAAGTAATTTTTAAATAAATCTTTGTGAATTATTTAATATTTTAATACCTCATAGAAATGAAATTGCTAGAGCTGCACAATATATCATATTGCAGCTGTGATTGCAATATTACAATTGCAAAGGACTGCTTAAGTGCAGTACTGGCTAGCGTACTATATTTCAAGTTTCTGCATTTTGGCTCTTCATGCCAACAGCTGATGTCTGTTTTTAGTGGCTGATATTTCAAAGCTGGTTAGGAAAAAAAAAGTGTTATGCTGCTTATTTTCTTTATGCACATGTCAACATCACTCAAAGTTACAGAACGTTTTGAAAATGGCATTAAAACGTCATCACACTTTTAAGATTTATGCAGTTCTTAACAGTTAGTGTGACGAGGTCTTTTCATCCCACTGCTGTTTGGAGGTCATTTTCAGTCTGCAAATGTCTCTCCAACCTCTTAAGCCTTATCTTTTAGTCCTGTATCTAATCTGTACTGACCTGACAGATTATTTCGACACTCGTTAATCTTGTATTTTTGAAATATCAACCTATGTGGAAGATGGATGTGGAGTACAAGTTTAGCTGCAATAGTAGCAGAGAATTTCCCCACTCTTTGCCCTAATTGTATGTTAAGATGGTATTTGCTTGTTATGCTTTCTTGAATTGATTTATCAACTTGAATTTTGGACAAATGTTGACACATAAGCTGTGTAATGAACCACCTCACTGTCCTTTCTGTGAACGAAGCCACTTGGAGAAATTCCGGGTAGCACAACATCTTTTTCTTCCAGCAGTCTGGAGTTTATACCTTGTTAATAGCTTTAGTATGTTGCCTTGGGTATTTCCAGCCTGTCTTTAAATAGAGCTCAGAGGATTAGGCCTCTTGTGTAAAGGTAAAGCAGCTACTCGCTTGTGAGGACACGAGACTCTTTCTCCAAATACACTGAATGGGTTTCAATTAATTGCTCACCTGGTATTTATGGGGTCATGTGTTTTTATTAGAAGGGTTAAAACAGGAGAAGGTG